ACACACACACACACACACACACACACACACAGAGAAGATAGTTAAGATACACAGACTACTAATTGCTATGAGCTCACGGAAAGGAAAGGAATGTCTATACAGCCTGACTGGTTTTTCAGGCCTATATCTTGTAAAATGGGCAACTACTTCGAAGATAACAATGTGCATTATTGCTCTCCCTCAATTTTGTTTTGTTCACACCATTGTTTTAATGTTTTTTAAGATTTAAAATAAAGAATAACAAAATAAATTTTTAAATTTTTGAATTAAAAAAGCACAAATAAGGCCAAGGAGATGGCTCAATAGAATAAGCACTTGCCTGGCAAGCCTGAGTTCAATCCCCAGTTTTGGGGTGGGGGGGGGAAGCACAAATACAATGTATTTTCCAAATAAGAAAGGGGAGGGCTGGGGAGATGGCTCAGTGGAATAAGTGCTTCCCTGGCAAATGCAAGGGCCTGAGTTCAATCCCCGGTTCCACACACACACTCACACACACACAAAAAAAAAAAAAAATTAAAAAACCAAAGAAGGGGAATATCTTCCAACTCATTTCATCAGGCTAATCTTACCCTACTAGCAAAAGCAGAGAGAGCAAACCAGACTAACAGTTTTTATAAACCATAATGCAAAAGTATCAACAGTGCACTATCGAACAGAAGTCAGCAATGTATAAAGCATGATATACCACAACCAAGTAAGATTTGTTATAGTATGCAAGACTAATTCAACACTGAAAATCAAGCAACCCTATCAATACTGTATCAATAGTCCAAGAAAGAAAAATCATATGATCATGTCAACTGACAGAGAAAAACTGCGAGAACATGAGTCTTATGCACTCCCCTGATACCTAACAGCAGGCACACAAAAATATTAATGAATATATAAGTGCTTTTGGTATCTTGCATCAACAACCTGTATAAACAGATCAACAGAATCTTAAGAATTAAAAGTTATTAATTAGTGAAAAGAGAAGATTTAAACTATATACCTTTCCTCCAGTAAGTAAAAGCGCTCCATTCCTAAGTCCAGCTATCAGGGATATGAGCTGCCGGGACAGAGGGCGCCCTAGGAGGCTATGTGTGACGTGCTCCGTGGAGGATTTGCCTATGGAATTCACACCTCTGAAAATACATAAACTGTTTTGTGGTAAAAGACTGAAGCAGATTAAAGTATCACTATAAAAACTGAAACTTTCCTTCTGGATCTACCTAACGAATTTTTCCCCCCATAATTTTATTGATAAACAAATAGCAATGAGACAGTTGCAAATCAAATCGGTAGGACAGTTTCAATAATTAACACACTGCATACATTCTTCCTAGTGGTGAACTGCTGTACAAGAATCATTCTATTCATTAAGAGGATGTAACTATATATCTATCAAAACCACTTTGAATAAACAGATACAATTG